TACGCAAATCTAGTCTTGTCGTCTGGTAACCATGTAGCAACATCTGCACACACCTTTCTCAAATCGCTTCTGCAAGGATTCATCTTCCCTTTGATTTTCAACTTTTTCCACATATCTTTATGCAGTTTTGTCTCTTCATACCCCTTACAATCATCTGGAAAAGGAGCACAATTCAAAGTCGTTATGTCAGCGAACTCTGATAGAGAGAATCTAGTTGGTTCTTCACCAAACAAACACCAAATTTCGTATTTCTTCTTACAAACAAGTTGCTTTGCAAGAAGATATTCAACAACCTTGGAAGACCATGTGAACTTATTATCAACAAACCGTACAATTATCCCAAGAGGAGAATTACGGATTTTTTTCCACACTTCTTCTCCAACAGCAATTTCAACGTCTTTTAGAAACTCAGTTTTGCTGTGATAGTTAATACTTTTCTTGGGCTTTGGCTCACAACCAAGTGAAAACAAACGCATAGGAAATCCTAAATCGATGTTTGTTTGAACTGTCATCCTATAAAACATTCATAAAACAATTGAATTATCAAATCAACATACATATTTAGAGATGAGAAGACTATATTAGAGATGTTAATACTGAGACAAATCAAGAGATTTAGTAGTGAGAATGAAATAAACAATGGACAACAATCTGTGAGTGGAAGAGATTGACCTGGAAATTGTCGGCGAGCTGAGAAGCCGGTGGTGGCACAACACAAACGTTTTTTTGTCTTTTTGTCTTCATTATGTTTAGGTTATTCTATTATTTACTTTTTAAAAAAATATAAAAGGTCCATTAGCCCAACTAAGCAAAATTTAATATTAAAAAGTCCATTGGCTAATTAAAAAACAAAACACAAGAGACACATGTGTTCATTGTTTCCAACGATTTTATTTTAGACAAAGGAAATCAAAATCTATTAAATAGAAGAGCATAAGAACAAAATGTTTAAACAAATTAATACCAAATCTTTAACAAGGATAAATTTGGAATTAAAAAAATCTTGACATTAAAAGTGAGTTATGTAAGAAATAAAAAATGAAGTGGGTTATCATAGCTATTTTTTGAAAAGGGTAGGTTATTGTAGGTAATTTTCCTAAGATAAAAGACAAAATTTTCCTTCTATTTTGATCAAAAGACAAAAAGGAAAGACTTTTGATTGAAAGAAAAGAAAAAAAAAAGGATAGCGTATTATTCGAGTTCCGCTCGTAACCCGCGATTT